GATGAGTGTGTGGGTGGATGGATTGTGGAGGTGTGGATAGTGTGTGGTGATGATTGTGGTGGTGGATGAGTGTGTGGGTGGATGAATTGTGAGGGTGGAATGAGTGTGGTGTGGGTGGATGCTTGAGCGTGTGGTGAAGATTGAGTGGGAGGATAGAGTGTGTTGGTGGATGAGTGAGTGGGTGGATGAGTTTGTGGAGGATGAGTGTGTGGGAGGATGATTGTGTGGTGGATGAGTGTTGGGTGATGAGAGTGTGGTGGATGAAGTGGTGTGTTGGATAGTGTGTGGGTGGAGATGAGTGTGTGTGTGGATGAGTGTGTGGAGGATGAGTGTGTGGGTGGATGAGTGTGTGGGTGGATGAGTGTTGTTGTGGGTGGATGTGTGGTGGGTGGATGAGTGGTGTTGGTGGATGAGTGTGTGGGGGATTAAGTGCTGAGAGATTGAGTATTGCGTTTATGTGGGAGGATGCGTGTGTGGGTGGAAAGAGAGTATGTGTGAGTCATAATAGTATAGGGTGAGTGCAATAGAGAGAATATGATGAGAGAGTGGTTGGATGAGTGAGGGTGGATGAGTGAGTGGGAGGAATAGTGTGGTGGGTGGATGAGTGTGTGGTGGATAGAGTGAGTTGGTGGAAGAGAGTGGTAGGGTTGATGATTGTGTGGTTGATGAGTGGTGAGGTGGATGATTAGTGTGGGGAGGAAGAGTGTGTGGGTGAAGAGAGGTGGGAGTATGAGGTGAGGGTGGAAGTGATTGTGTATGTGATGAGTGAGAGGGTGGAAAGAGTGATAGGGGTGGATGAGTGAGTGAGGTGTGAATGAGTGAGGGGGGATGAGAGTTTGTGGTTGGATGCGTGTGTGGGAGGAAGATTGGTGTGGTGTTGGAAGAGTGTGAGGGTGGAAGATTTGTGTGGGTGGATGAGTGTGTGGGTGGATGTAGTGTGAGGTGGATGAGTTGTAATATGGGGAAGAGTTGTCTATAAGTACTAGATCAAGTGTGAAGGACAGCATCACATCTAGCCTGTTAACTGTTATACTTGCTGCCGGTTCTTGCTGTCTGAGCTCTGTTCTTGCTGTTCTTAGATGCTGTTCTTGCCTGTTCAAGCAGCTGTTCCTTGCATGCTGTAGCTGCGTTTCTTGTTGCTTGTTGCTGCTGTTCTATACGACTGTTGGCTATGTTTGCTGTGCTGTTTCCTTGCTGCCTGTTCATTGCTGCTGTTCTTACTACTGTTGCTATTGTTTGCTGCTGTTCTCGCTGCTTTTACTGCTGTTCTTGTTGCTGTTGCTGCAGATGCATACATTACTACTGTGTTGCAATTGGTTGGCTGCTGTTCTGCTGGCTGTTATACATATAGACTGCTGTTCTTACTGACTATTGCTATTGTTGCTGCTTGTTCTTGCTCTGTTCTTGCTGTTGCTCTTGCTGCTGTTCTTTGCTGCTTGTTCTTGCTGCTGTTCATGCTGCTATGTTGCAGGCTGTTCTTACCTACCAGTTGCTATTGGTTCTGCTGTTTCTTGCTGGCTGTTCTGCTTTCTTGTTGCTGTTGCTGCTAGTTCTTACTACTGTTGCTATAGTTTGCTGCTGCTCTTTGCTGCTGTTCTGCCTGCTGTACTATGCTGCTGTTCTTGCCTTGCTGTTCTTGTGCTATTCTTACTACTGTTGCTATAGTTGCTGCTCTCGTGCTGCTGTTCATTGCGCTGTTACTGCTGTTCTTGTTGCTGTTGCTGCATTCTTGCTATTGTTGGCTGCTGTTCTTTGCTGCCTGCTCTTTCTGCGTTCTTGCTGCTGTCTTGCTGCTGTCTAGCTGCTGGTTCTTACTGCTGTTCTTGCTGCTGTTCTTGCTGTGAGGCTGTTCATTGCTGCTGTTCTTGTTGCTATTCTTACTACTGTTGCTATTGTGCTGCTGCTCGTGCTCTGTTCTTGCTGCTGTTACTTAGCTGTATCTTTTTGCTGTTGCTGCTATCTGCCTATTGTTGCTGCTGGTTCTTGCTGCTGCTCTTTCTGCTGTCTTTCTTGCTAGTTCTTTGCTGCTGGTCTTGCTGCTGTTCTTACTGCTGTTCTTGCTGCTGTTCTTGCTGCAGTCTTGCTGCTTGTTCTTGCTGTTGTTCTTCTGCTGTTCCTTAGCTGGCTGTTCCTTGCTGCTGTTCTTGCTGCTGTTTCTCTTGCTGCTTTCTTGCTGCTGATCTACTGTTGTTTTCTGCAGCTGTTCTTACTGCTGTTCTTGGCTGTATGCTTTCTTGCGCGTGTCTTACTACTGTTCTAGGCTGCTGATTCTTTGGCTGCTGTTCTTGCTTGCTGTTTTACTTGCTGCGCTTCTTTGGCTGCTGTTCTTTGCAGCTGTATCTTGCTGCTGTTTCTTGCTGCTGTTCTTACGCCGGCTCCTAACCTTTACCTAACAACTCCCAAGTTAGGTAAAGAATTGTCAGTGAAACATGGACAAGTGTTCTTTCACATCTGTTAGCTGGGAGAACACTTGTGAGCCACTGTAGAGGCACTGGAACAAGCCAACTGGTTAGGGCACTGGAACAAGCCACTGGTAGGAGGCACTGAACAAAGCCACTGAGGTAGAGGCACTGGAACAAGCCACTGGTAGAGGCACTGGAACAAGCCACTGGTAGAGGCACTGGAACAAGCCACTGGTAGAGGCACTGGAACAAGCCACTGGTAGAGGCACTGGAACAAGCCACTGTAGAGGCCACTTGGAACAAGCCCCTGGTAAGATGCACTGGAACAAGCCCTGTTATAGAGGCACTGAACAGAGCCACTGGTAAATGGCTCTTGGAACAAGCCACTGTAGATGCAGTGGAACCAAGTCCACAGGTAAGAGGCACTGGAACAAGCCACTGAAGAGCACTGGAACAAGCCACTTGTAGAGGCACTGGGAACAGGCCACTGTAGAGGCACTGGAACAAGCCGACTGTAAGAGGCACTGGAACAAGCCACTGGTAGAGAGCAGTGGAACAAGCCACTGCTTAGAGGCACTGGAAACAAGCCACTTGTAGAGCACTAGAAACAAGCCACGGTAGAGGCAGTGGAACAAGCCACTGGAGAGGAGGACAGTGGAAGCAAGCCACTGGTAGAGGCAGGGAACAGCCACTGATAGAGGCATTGAACGAGACACAGGTAAGGGCATGTAACAAGCCACTGGTAGAGTGCAATTGGAACCAGCACTGGTAGAGGCTGTGGAACAAGCCACTGGTAGAGGCAGGTGAACAAGTAGCCACAGGAAAGGCTGTGGAACAAGCCACTGGTAGAGGCAGTGGAACAAGCCACTGGTAGAGGCAGTGGAACAAGCCACTGGTAGAGGCAGTGGAACAAGCCACTGGTAGAGGCAGTGGAACAAGCCACTGCCTCTACCAGTGGTTTGTTCCACCTGTTTACTCGCTGAATTGTACTCTCAAAGCTTTACAATCATAGTTTCACTATCAAATTGTAACTCTCATAGTTTGTACTATCAATAAGTTTGTACTGGGTTATGAGAGTGTAATTACCTGTTTGTACTTATATTGTGGTTTAGGGTTCGATTTCACAGCGTCCTGTGAGCTTTCCGCTCATCACTGATAATACTAAGGATCCAACACCTCTCCACATTCTCCATGAGCATATCGGATCTCGCTCATAATAATATGTATAGGAGTCCAGGCCTCCACTACATCACACTCCTATTGACAACTTTTAATGATGGCTGAAAAAATACTTCCTAACATCCCTGTGTACATCCACTTAGTCTTTATCCTTCCCAGTTGTGACCCTTGTTGTTTGTCTAAGCTATGAAACATTCTGTCCGTATCTACCATGTCAGTTCCTCGTAGTAATTTAATATATGTTTATCATGTCGTCCTCTCTCCAGTACTCCAGTGTCGGTCAGGTTGTATTCCGCTAATTTCTCCTGCTGTAGGACATGCCCCTTAGCTTAGGACTAGTCTTGTGCAACATTTTCTTGGCTAGGTGTGGTTCACAAACAGTTGAGTTTTTGCATACTCTAATATAACTGGACCGTAGCAAGGATGTACAGGTCTCTGAACGATTCCTTATTGCGATGTCGGATGCTATTCTTAGGTTTGCTAGGCGACCGGTATGCTGGCAGACAGTTATTTGGTCGATATGCGCTCAGAGATGTCCTCCGTGTTATGTACTCACCCCATAGTCCTTTTCCTTGAGTGAGGTTGTAGTCACCTTGCCCCCTTAGACTGTACTCTGTCTGCGGTCTTCTTTGCTCTTCCCCAATCTTTCCATGACTTGCATGGTGGTGGGCCAGTTTCCTGGATCAGGCCTTTCAACCTGTCCACATCCCTTTGTTAAGTCCTGCCTGATCCTCGTCCGATTGAATTCTTCCCATTATCGTCACATCATCAGTAAACAGGGACACTTCAGAGTCTATTCTTCCGTGCATGTCGTTCCACGTATACAGAAACATATCTGGTTCTAGAAACAGACACCCTGAGGAACCGGCCCCTGTCACGTAGACGCCCACTCTGACACCACGTGCATGTACCATGACTGCACTGATGTCTTCCCGATAGTGGTTACCCTGATGCCATTGCCAGTGCACTTCGCCTGTATACCTGCCTGGTCCTTCAGTTATGGCACTCATCTCTTGTGTGGAACTGTGTCAAAAAAGCCTGTCTTACAGTCCAAGAAAACGCAATCGCGCAATCCTACCACCCCTCTCTCGCTCTTGGTCATAAGAACGTCCATAGGTTTGTGACACAGGGATATCCATCCTTGAAATCTATAGCTGGTATGTCACTGACAGCTCCTTCCTTCTGTATGCTCCACCACTCTTCTGATAATCGTCTCCATTACTGCATACTATAAAAATTGTCCATGGTGCGACGACTGGTCTGTATTTAATGCATTCGTGTCTGTCTCCTTTTTTAAAAAATTGAGGACTGCAATTGCTGTCTTCCATACCTCAAGTAGTTGCCTATTTCGATATTGTTGAAGACTGTTTTAATGGCACACATATTACCTGCTGGCTCCCATCTCATAGGACGCCATGGATGAGATTTATCGCCCTTTCGCTTTTTGAGTACGGAGAGAGAAATGACGATGGCAACAGCAGTAATGAAGGAAGAGAGTACAGCTCGGCCGAGCTGGACGACCTGCACTTCTTCACTAACGGCTCCAGGAAGTACGTCGACGGCCACTACAAGACACGACACAACGACACGTTTATCTACGACGAGAACTATTCCAGCGACAGCGACGAGTCTCTTTACAACGATGACGAGGACGACGACGACGACGAGGATGATGACGAAGATGATGACGATGAGGATGAAGAGGATGATGAGGATAAAAAGGGCGACAGTGACGCCGAAGATTCAGAAGACGATGAAAATCAGTCGACGGTGAGTAACTACATTTCAGTTTTTAATTCATCACACATATAATGAAACAGCATCACTGAAGTGAAAAAAAAAAATAAACATTCCTGCATGTTACAGTAAACTCACGTAAGGGTGAACTAAAACATCGATGGTAGTATAAATTTTGTTCAACAATCCTTCCCACCAGGTATTTCCAGCTCCCTCTTAATTTTCTATTTAAACCTCTCTTTTCTTCAGAACTTTAGTCCCCACAAAGTGACTAGAATAGAATAAGATAATTACATACTGTGGATGTGCTCGGTGTTCCAAAATAAGATTTGGCCTTGAGGATCCAGTTTGTTGGTCAGCGTCACTCATCCTGTGAGTGAACATACTACCATAATGACAATACTGAGTAGTGTCACTCATCGAAAAACCAATAATAACTGAACACAAAGCGACAGTGTGAACGATCAAACAACACATTCCCTCACACTTCGAAAGCTTAAACTTACTAAATATACATAACATTCACTCAAACTACCGTACATACTATATATACAGGACAGTCAGTTCAAATATGAACCCTGCTCTGAAACTCTTACTGGATAACTGCAACAGAACTCATAGGCATCATACAAGATACAAAAATCTTTTTGATTTCTCTTGTGAGGCTCAACACAGTGAAAACATTACTTGTGTTAAGCCGGACAAGAGCCCTAAAATCTGGAACTGTCTGCCTGAAGATTCTTCCAACCGCTTCAAAGAGTTAATTAAAAACACCACCTAACGTTAATGTTATCGTGACAACAATATACTCGATAAACAAATCCTGAAGCCTAATGTTTTCTTCCTATCCTAATCCTTACTGTACTTGTTTCAGCAGCTGCCAACTCCCATATATTGTAAGATAGGCTTCACTCCCTTCTTTCACACTTGTAAAAATAATTTCCCACATAAGATATACACTATCAATAACTTTTTATTGCAGTTTAAGTACGACTGACGCTGCTAAGCAAGACAATTATTTTTATCGTCATATATTATGAATTAATTTGTCACTTGTATCTACATTAAAGTTGCAATTATTACTATCTATCAGACCCTTAGAAAAAATATATAAAACTCTTTAAATATGAATTACAGTATAAAGTAAGTTTTGCTGGAGATGTTGTACATTTTTGTTCCTTCAGATTATTGTTCGTCCTGTGCAGTAATACTTAAATATATATTATTATATATATGAATAACATGTGTAATAACCAATACAAACTTTATTAAAAATTGTTTAACAAAGAAAATTACAAAAATATGCCGTAATAAACCAGTGTTAATATCAAAGATTGTAAACTTTAACATTCTTGTTAACTAACTTAATCATCCAGAAGTTAAAAGTTAGTTTTAAAGTTGACAGGAATTAATGTATCACCAGGGGCCGTCTCTCAAGTCTGACAATAATATCAACAAATCTTTTTAATACACTTTTTTTAGAAATAAAGATTATTATTATTATTATTATTATTATTATTATTATTATTATTATTATTATTATTATAAAAGCACTGGTCAGTGTCACTCATCTTGTGAGTAAACATTCTACAATAAACAAGTCGTTGATGTCACCACTGGTGACATCAACTACGTCCTTGTCTATTTCAACATGTTGGTTATCACATAAAGAACAAAAATGCGCAATACCGTGACTGGAACAATACACAAATAACCCGCACATAGGAGATGGTGACTTTGTAAATGGTCCGACTTGGACCATTTACAAAGTCACGAGTCGGACCGAAACGTCATCATAAGCTCCTCTCTCCTCTGTGCTGGTTACTTACGTATTGGTTATCACATGCTTGTATTTGCCTAAGATACTGCTGGTAAAAACTAAAAATCATGAACTAATAGGGAAATGTTTGTCATTTGCGCGTGTATCCTACCCATAGTGACGATATTTCACATCTGTGCTTGTCTCCTATCACAGGAATACATGAAGAACGCCAACGGCGAGATCACTCTGGCTGGACAAAAGTTCCCATCCACTGTGTGCTTTGAACCTCGCATGATCCAGCGTCCACCTGAACCCCCACAGGTAACTATTTCTCTTACGTCAGGTGAGCTGTCTCCATGTTGCTGCATCCATGTTGCTGCATCATGCTGCTGCCTACATGTTGCTGCCTCCATGTTGCTGCCTCCATGTTGCTGCCTTCATGTTGCTGCCTCCATGTTGCTGCCTCCATGTTGCTGCATCATGTTGCTGCCTCCATGTTGCTGCCTCTATGTTTCTGCATCATGTTGCTGCCTCCATGTTGCTGCATCATGTTGCTGCCTACATGTTGCTGCCTCCATGTTGCTACCTCCATGATGTTGCCTACATGTTGCTGCATCATTTTGCTGCCTACATGTTGTTGCCTCCATGTTGCTACCTCCATGATGCTGCCTACATGTCGTGCCTCATGTTCCTGCCTCCGGTGTTGCTGCATCAGTGTTGTGAAATCATGTTGTGTCTCAATGTTGTGTATCATGGTTGCTGCCATTTGGTGTTCCATCAATTCTGATGTCTACATGTGCTGGTATCATCCATGTTGCTATCCATGATGTTGCCTACATGTTGCTGGCCATCAGTTTTGCTGCTACTGTTGTGGCTATGTTGCACTCCCTGTGCTCTCTATGTGTGGTGCTCATGATTCCTTGTCGGGTGTTGCTGCTCAGCGCTGGTGATTTGTGTGAATGTGGGGTCTTCATGGATGGTTGCATATGGTAGTGTCCTCAGTGGTGGTTGTGTGTGTTCTCAATGGCTATCATATATTAGCTCATGGTGGTAGTCATCAATGTGTGTTGTTGTGGTGTGCCTACATGGTGGCTCTGTTGTGTGGTGTGTCTCATTGGTGTTTGTGGGTGTGTCTCAGTGGGTGGTTGTGTGGGTGTGTCTCAGTGGGTGTTGGTGGGTGTCTCAGTGGCTGGTTGTGTGGGGTGTCTCAGTGGTGGTTGTGTGGATGTCTAATGGGTCTTGTGTGGGTGTCTCAATGGGTGGTTGTGTTTGTCATGGATAGTTCGTGTGGGGGCTGACTTCGAGCTCTGGGGGTTTGTGTGGGTGTGTCTCAGTGGGTAGTTGTGTGGGTGTCTCAGTGGCTGCTTGTGTGGGCGTGTCTCAGTGGGTGGTTGTGTGGATGTCTAATGGGTCATTGTGTGGGTGTCTCAGTGGGTGGTTGTGTTCTGCAGGACGGTGAGTTCGTGTGGGCAGGCCGACCTTCAAGAGCGTCTCCGGGCGGCTTTCTCCTGGGGCTTCATCCTGACGCAGCTGGCCGGTGGGCGGCTTGTCAGCGTCATGGGTGGAAAGATGCTACTACTGATGGGCGTGTTACTGGCCGCCCTCCTCACTGTTCTTACGCCCACGGCCGCTGTCATGGGACCATACTGGCTGCTGGCCGCCCGTATCATGGTGGGCGCAGCTGAAGTAAGCATTCTGGAAACACTACCTCCAAGCGTTCTATAAACAAACAGTATAGTTATTTTAACGATTACTCTTGTATGTATTCAACTTTGTAAGCTTCTTCATGAAGGCAGATAAAGACCTGAGTGTTGTCTCAGGAAGATTATTGTTTATTTTTATGCAGGATAGCGCAACACTCTAGGAAGTACAGTGTTGATCAGTAGTGGAAAAAACACAAAATGCATTTACTGAGACGTGTTTATTGGAAACGTTTCAGTCCTGAGACCTCGGTCATTCCAAATGTATATGAAGGGAAAGAAAACATCAGTTTATATAGTTAGGGAAGGCACATGAGAAGTGAGGTTTAATGGCATTGTCACCTACTGTAGAATTTGGTGGTGGGCGAGGTGAAGCTTGTTTGATGGCAGGGCCTCAGTAATCATATGGTTTCCTGCTTTGTGTGACTTTTGTTGCAATAAGGAAGACTTCTAAACAACGGCGTCTGTCGAGATTAGGTTCGGTGAAGATCATGCATGTTTTTGGTGAAGTCCATCAAATGTCCGTCTGTGTCCCCGTGAAGCACTAAGTCATTGTTGAGATCGTCTCTGTTGCCAACACTTTTGTGCTCCTTAATTCTAGTGGATAAATTTCTGTCCGTTTCTCCTACACAGTTCTTTTGAGAGTGACTACATAGACTGTGTAGACTCTGGCAGTAGATGTAGGCTGCTATGTCGTGGTAAGACCTCTGACCTCTGATAGATGTCAGTGCTTCATGTGCAACGTGATGCTGCTGACATCCAGGACAAGTGCCGTGTTGTTGATTACACTGTTACGGGACAGAACTAAAGAATTCTTGGTGGTGAGCTTTGTTGTTGTTGAATCAAGGATGCCTTTCAATCCGTCTTCAATCTTGAATTAAAAAGACCGGGAATTGTAGCTGGTGAATGTATGGAGTATACAGGTGCATTCATCCTTAAAAAAAATAGGATTACAAATGCGGTAATTCCGCAAAAAAGAAACCAATGACTACCCTTCGTTTGGTAATGTATTGTGGTGAGTAGTAGTAGTAGTAGTAGTAGTAGTAAGTAGTAGTAGTAGTAGTATTGTATCAGATCGCCTGTATTTGTAGGCTTTCTCTGTACTTTAAAAGTAAGCTTGTTGACGTACTGGGATCTGCATAGAAGGACGTCGAGGAAGGGAAGCTGTACTTCCTTCTTGAATTCTATGTTAACCTTAATGGTGGGTTCTACTGCGTTGATTTGAACGAGGTAGTAGCATATGTTGAGTCATCTTGGGTATTACCAGATTGTTGCTCATGTACAATACTACGGATGATGGACTGAAACCGTTCTGTCTCAAAATGATCCTTATAGATGATAGCTAACACGGCTGAGTGGACTCCTTATTACTAACCCAAAGCATTGTTGGAAAGGCCTGTTTTCATATTGAAAACGGTTAAAATTTATGCATAGATCAAAAAATAAAAAAAAAAAACCTCCTGGTGTGGGAAAGGGACTTTAGTATCACTTAACAAAGATTGTGCTTCACAGGGACTCAGAAGAACATTTGATGAACTTCACCAAAGCATTCATAATCTTAGCTAAAACCTAATCTCAACAGATGTTGTTTAGAAGTCCACCTTATTGCAGCAACAAACACGGTCACACTAAGAGCAGGAAACTGTAGAACTGCTGACACCCTGACATGAATGATCATTAAACAAGCTTCGCCCTGCCCAACGCTAGACACGGCAGCCAGATGGCATGCCAGAAATCTCACTTCTCAGGTACCTTTTTTGCTATATACATTTAGAGTGACCAATATCCCAAGAATGAAACGTTTCCAATAATCATGTTCTAGTGATTACATTGTGTGTCTCCATTATCGTCGATATCATATACTTTTATGACCATAATGTAGATTAGCTGAACTTTGGGTATACATAAAGAGAGACGTTTCTCACTGTGTAGCATGTACACTGAGAGTTCGCTCTCATATCTATTATTAGGGATTCAAACATTCTTGATGTTGATGTATACATGTAGCCGTAACCCCCATCCCTTTAAGGGAGGTTCCTTTATACCGGTGAATAACTCATTATCTACGAGATAGGAATTACAATTACCTCCCCTTCTTTGAATCAAGTTTGAATGCGTCTCATTCCCCAGGCTCTACATAACCCCTGCTTAATGTTTCCCTTGATCAAAATCAGTCAATAAATAAATGTACCCTTAATGACCCACGTGTAGTTGATAGTCTTTAAACCTAACAAACTAACGAGTGGTGAGTGTTGTAATGTGTTGTGTTGCAGGGTGTGTGTGTACCCGCCATGCAGGCAGTCTTGGCACAGTGGGCTCCTCCCCTCGACCGTACCTTCATGGTCGCCTGCACCTACTCCGGTGAGTCTACTTCCCACAGTCAGAATAAGCACCATTGGACATAAACAGTAACTGGATGGGTGACCACTTCGAAATATACTCGCCATTGCCTGGATTAGGAAAACCTGGACATGCCTCGGACTTCCTCCCTACAATAATATAATTCATTAATTTTAGGAAAGTTTGTAATGTTTATATAGAGTTAATGTGAAATATTTGACATAAAAAGGTTTAAAAGTTGTGTTGGCTGCTGCTGCTCATTCCTCAGTTGTAGCAGTAGAAGCAAAAATTACATTACGATTATTGGACGTTTCTGGACTTTGTATCTTACAGTCCTTGACTTTCTTAAGTTATTCTGGATTCATATCCCTCAGGGGTTAATAATCCCAAGAAAGTATGTCTTCTTCACTGTCCTCTAATGTTGCACAGTAAAGTGTCTTCAACCTATAATGATTTTAAAGTACGTGTAAATCCTATCTGGTTGTTTTTGTTTGCCAGTTGTTTAATGCAGGTTTTCGAAGATATTGAGAGTAACTTGTTTAATAAAACCTGTTGCATGAGGACGAGCTGCATCTGGAGCATTTTTGATTAAATACGTTAAATATGCACACGGGTGTGCTTCATGGGAATCTAGATGTCAGAATTGTTGTTGAGGAGCAGTGTTATGTAATGTGATGTGTTTTGCAGGTTTGGCAGTAGGTGCAGCTCTGGGAGGACCTCTGTCAGAGTGGCTGGTGATGCTGGTTGGGTGGCGTGGTCTCTTCTACAGCCAGGGAGTGATAACCTTTGTCTGGTGCATCATGTGGCAGTTCTTAGTGGCAGAAAACCCCTCCAAGCACCCGAGGATCTCACAGCAGGAGAAAAACCACATCATGTCGTCCATCGGTGCCCAGCACGCATGGCGAGGACTTCCGGTACCCTGGTTCCACGTCTTCAGGTACCGGACTCGACATGTTCAACAAATATAGTTCCTGTATTTCTTTTACATATCACTGCACCAACAGTCACTATAATTCATGGAAAAGCACTAAACCCGTAGGGGTCATACAGCATCATGGGGGGAAATGGAAGGTATTCAAGTTCAGCATAAAGAAGGAAAGTGCAGTCCACTTCCGTTATCTATCATAAGTCATCAACGCAAATATGTACATTTTTCATGCACACACACACACACACACACACACACACACAGGTGTGTGTATGTGTGTATGTGTGTGTGTGTGTGTGTGTGTGTGTGTGTGTGTGTGTATGGGTGCGTGTCGGTGGACAAAGACTACAGACCTCACTCAGGGAGAAAGACCTTGGGGTGACCATAACACCGAGCACATCACCGGAGGCACACATCAACCAAATAACTGCTGCAGCATATGGGCGCCTGGCAAACCTGAGAATAGCGTTCCGATACCTTAATAAGGAATCGTTCAAGACACTGTACACTGTGTATGTTAGGCCCATACTGGAGTAGGCCCGCACCAGTCTGGAACCCACACCTGGTCAAGCACGTCAAGAAGTTAGAGAAAGTACAAAGGTTTGCAACAAGGCTAGTCCAGAGCTCAGGGGAATGTCGTACGATGAAAGGTTGAGGGAAATCGGACTGACGACACTGGAGGACAGAAGGGTCAGGGGAGACTGATAACGACATACAAGATACTGCGAGGAATAGACAAGGTGGACAGAGATAGGATGTTCCAGAGAGGGGACACAGAAGCAAGGGGTCACAACTGGAAGCGGAAGACTCAGACGAGTCACAGGGACGTTAGGAAGTATTTCTTCAGTCATAGAGTCGTCAGGAAGTGGAATAGCCTAGCAAGTGAAGTAGTGGAGGCAGGAACCATACATAGTTTTAAGAAGAGGTATGACAAAGCTCAGGAAGCAGAGAGGGAGAGGACCTAGTAGCGATCAGTGAAGAGACGGGGTCAGGAGCTGAGTCTCGACCCCTGCAACCACAATTAGGGGTGAGTACAATTAGGGGAGCACACACACACACACCACACACACACACAAACACACACCACAAAACACACACACAACACACACACACAAAACACACAAAACACACACACACACACACGTACATACAGGAGAGCTGGAATGAATACACTGAACAACTTTTTCAAGAACATAAAATAAGGGTTTAAAAACAGACTGACTTACGTTATCATAGCATTGTACATGCTATGATAACTGTACATGCTATGATAACAGTACATGCTATGATAACAGTGCATGCTATGATAACAGTGCCCTGCTATGATAACAGTACATTTCTATGATAATTCATGCTATGATAACTGTACATGCTATGATAACAGTGCATGCTATGATAAACAGTACATGTATGATAACAGTACATGCTATGATAAAAAGTTTTATGCTATGATAACAGTACATGCTATGATAACAGTGCATGCTATGATAACAGTACATGCTATGATAACAGTACATGCTATGATAACAGTACATGCTATGATAACAGTACATGCTATGATAACAGTGCATGCTATGATAACAGTACATGCTATGATAACAGTACATGCTATGGTAACAGTACATGCTATGATAACAGTGCATGCTATGATAACAGTACATGCTATGATAACAGTACATGCTATGATAACAGTACATGCTATGATAACAGTACATGCTATGATAACAGTGCATGCTATGATAACAGTACATGCTATGATAACAGTACATGTTATGATAACAGTACATGCTATGATAACAGTACATGCTATGATAACAGTGCATGCTATGATAGTGCATGCTATGATAACAGTACATGCTATGATAACAGTACATGCTATGATAACAGTACATGCTATGATAACAGTACATGCTATGATAACAGAACATGCTATGATAACAGTACATGCTATGATAACAGTACATGTTATGATAACAGTGCATGCTATGATAACAGTACATGCTATGATAACACTACATGCTATGATAACAGTACATGCTATGATAACAGTACATGCTATGATAACAGTGCATGCTATGATAACAGTACATGCTATGATAACAGTACATGCTATGATAACAGTACATGCTATGATAACAGTACATGCTATGATAACAGTAAAATGCTATGATAACAGTACTGCTATGATAACAGTGCATGCTATGATAACAATACATGCTATGATAACGTACATGCTTGATAACAGTACATTTCTATGATAACAGTACATGCTATGATAACAGTACATGCTATGATAACAGTACTTTCTATGATAACAGACTGCTATGATAAAAAGTACATGCTATGATAACAGTACATGCTGTGATAACAGTACATGCTATGATAAAAAGTACATGCTATGATAACAAGTACATGCTTGATAACAGTACATGCTATGATAACAGCACATGCTATGAAACAGTACATGCTATGATAACGGTACATGCTTGATACAGTACATGCTATGATAACATACATGCTTGATAACAGTACATGCTATGATAACAGTACATGCTATGATCAGACATACTATGATAACGTGCAGTTATGTACAGTCCATGCTATGATAACCTCATGCTCTGATAACAGTGCATGTATGATAACAGTGCATGCATGATAACAGTACATGCATGATAACGACAGCATGTAACCCCGACCATGCTATGAACCGTACCTGTTATGATAACAGTATATGCTAGATAACAGTACATGCTATGATAAAAGTCCCTGCATGATAACAGTACATGCTTGAAACAGTACATGCTATGATAAAAGTACATGCTATGATAACATACGCTATGATAACAGTACATGCTATGATAACGTACATGCTATTATCACTCAAACAGTCTGCTATGATAACAGTACATGCTATGATAACAGTACATGCTATGATAACGTACATGCTATGATAACAGTACTGCTATGATAACCCGACAGCTATGATAACAGGCATGCTATGATAAACTAGCATGCTAGGGTAAGTACATGCATGATAACAGTACATGCTTGATACCAAATGCTATAACATAATGTATGATAACGTACATGCTAGATAACAGTACATGCTATGATAACAGTACATGCTATGATAACAGTACATGCTATGATAACAGTACATGCTATGATAACAGTACATGCTATGATAACAGAACATGCTATGATAACAGTACATGCTATGATAACAGTACTGCTATGATAACAGTCATGCATGATAACAGTACATGCTATGATAACAGTAATTTCTATGAAACAGACTTTCTATGATAACAGTACATGCTATGATAACAGTATGCGGATAACAGTATGTAGATAACAGTTTCATTCTATGATAACGTACATGCCTATGAATAACAGTCATGCATGATAACAGTTACTGCTATGATACAGTACATGCTTGATAACAGTTACATGCTATGATACAGTACTGCTATGATAACAGTTTCATGCTATGATAACAGTACATGCTATGATAACAGTACTGCTATGATAACAGTACATGCTATGATAAATCATGCTATAACAGTACATGCTATGATACGTACATCCATGAAAACAGTACTGCTATGATAACAGTACATGCTATGATAAAAAAAAGTACATGCTTGATACTGCCTTTTATGATAACAGTACATGCTATGATAACAGTACATGCTATGATAACAGTGCTGCTATGATAACAGTACATGCTATGATACAGTACATGCTTTGATAACGCATGTTTTGATAACAGTACTGCTATGTTTAAAAGTGCATGCTTGATAACAGTACATGCTAGATAAAGACATGCTTTGTAACAGTACATGCTATGATAACCCGTCATGCTATGTAACAGTACAAAGCTATGATAAACAGTACATGCTATGATAAAAAGTACATGCTATGATAACAGAACATGCTATGATAACAGTACATGCTATGATAACAGTCATGTTATGATAACAGTCATGCTATGATAACAGTACATGCTATGATAACATACATGCTATGATAAAAAGTACATGCTATGATAACAGTACATGCTATGATAACAGTGCATGCTATGTAAAAAGTCATGCTATGATAACGTTCATGCTATGATAACAGTACATGCTATGATAACAGACATGCTATGATAACAGTACATGCTATGATAACAGTCATGTATGATAACAGTGCATGCTATGATAACATACATTTCTATTTATAACAGTACATGCTTGATAACAGTACATGCTATGATAACAGTCATGCTTGATAACAGTACATGCTATGATAACAGTACATGCTATGTAAGACTGTATGATAACAGTACATGCTATGATAAAAAGTACATGCTATGATAACAGTACTGTATGAACAGTCATGCTATGATAACAGGTACATGCTTGATAACAGTACATGCTATGATAAAAAGTACATGCTTTGATAAAAAGTACATGCTATGATAACAGTACATGCTATGATAACAGACATTTCTATTAATAACAGTCATGCTATGATAACGTACATGCTATGATAACAGTACATGCTATGATAAAAAGTACATGCTATGATAACAGTAACATGCTATGATAACAGTACATGCCCTTTATAACAGTACATGCTATGATAACAGTACATGTTTTGATAACAGTACATGCTATGGATAACCGTACATGCTATGATAACAGTCATGTTTTGATAACAGTCATGCTATGATAACAGTACCTGCTATGATAACAGTACATGCTATGTTAACAGTACATGCTATTTATAACAGTACATGTTTTGATAACAAGTATATGCTATGATAACAGTACATTGCTATGATAACAGTACATGCTATGATAACAGTACATGCTATGTAACGTACATGCTATGATAACAGTACTGCTATGATAACAGTCATGTTATGAAACAGTACATGCTATGATAACCGTACATGCTATTATAACAGTGCATGTTTTGATAACATCATGCTATGATAACAGTACATGCTATGATAACAG